GTCATAATCATGTCTTGTGATTATTTGACAGGTATTTTACTTTTAAACTTTAAGCATACATGTATTTAATTTATGTTAGTTTTGATGTTAATACAATACAAATTAAACCAAGATTTAGAATAATTATCATTTTCATCCATACATTGGTAATGTCTGACTGGGTCTTGTGCCACTTTATGTTCAACAAATTTGGCCCCGAGGTCAAAAAGGTTAAGAACCCCTGACAGCAGCACATTGGCATAAGCTGACAAATTTGGAGCATGTCCAAAATTATTATCTGTCCATCGTACTGACAAAATTTTCACAACTTACACCTAACTTGTGCAACGTACAGCAGTGTGTTGGACAAAAAGTTGCATAAGTTGTCTAATGTCATAGTGTGACAGAGCTTTTAGCAAGACAGCTATGAAGCCACCAGTTCTCACCATAATCAGTCTAAAACTCTAGAGTGAAAGGCGATATGTAAATAAGTATTCCTTCAAGCAAAGCTAGACATTTTTAAATAAATAAAAAATCCCTTTAAGATGACATTTAAAGTTACACAACATCCTTTGGTGTTTTCAGATAAACTAATATTTACAGATGCATGTGACTCGTTTGTTTGTGTTCATACCTGGCTAGGTAGTGGCCAGATGAGGGCACTTCAAGCCGGTTTGGTTTGTCATAACAGTTGAGTACATTCTGAACCAGGGCTAAATCCGGCCTTAGCATGGTCGCTGCAGTGACCGCTCGACCAATCAGCTGCAGGGAATCCCGTATGTAGAAGCTTATCGGCTTGCGACCGACCTCCCCATAGGCTAGCAGTCCCAGGGGGCCTCCTAAAGTGTGGAGTGAATCTGGAGACAAAGGGTATCCCATGATCCACTGCAGTGCAGGCAGAGATGAGGCGAGGCGCTGAGCGGCCCGCAAGACAGATGAGAGACACTCCGGGTCAGATCCCAGGAGAAGCACGGAGGAAATAGGTGAGGGGGAGCGCAGGAAGCTGGTGGAGATGATGTTCAAAGCCTCTTCTTCCATTTGATCCTCCCTTTTCTCCTCGCTGGCCTCCCCCCTGCTTCGATCTCTGCCCCCTGTGATGCGAGTCAGGTTGATGATGTCCCTCAAATGCCAGGCAGGACCACTGTGCCTCTGCAGGTGAGTCAGCAAGCCATCGCTGCCTTCGTCCCACCCCGGGCAGATCACAGCCGCTCCTCCCCAGGTGCCGCCTCCCTGGCGGCCTCGGTCCCTGTCCCCCTCCCTGCCTTGCAGGACAGTGAGCAGCAAGCTGCCCAGGCTTGATGGAGGCACGCGGGCGGACATCTGCAGGTGAAATTGATTCTGTAAGAGGAAAGAAGAAAAAGAAACGGTGCAAAAGTTAAAAACTGAAAGTAGAAAAACAGCTGTGTGAAAGTCAAAGGGCTACAGAAGAACAAATAGAAAAGACAAGGAGGAGAAGGATTCAAAATCAGAAAAGAGATAGATATCACCAAACCCCAACACCTCAGGGCTGAATAACATAAACATCCATTAAACAGCTTTTAGAAGTACTGAGAGCTGCAAAACAATTCCTGTTGCTGTAGTAATTTGCCACAACTCAGATCAGACACAATCAAACAGCCATATTTGTTCATTATCTCTCACTTTGACTAAAAAGAGTCGTGCCGATACAAACAAGGAGCCAATGATTCGCATCTAATCTGCAGCATCACAGTAGGCTTGGCAAGACAACAGTAGCATCACAGTTCATCCAGAAGCCCACATTTCCTACCCCCTCCTGAAAACACTGGCTTGTTTCATACTGTTCCAAAATGGATAACACAGTTGTCCTTGAATGCAGCTCACAGATGGACCCCCTCCCTCTCCTCCCTTTGACGGTTTCTATCCATTTTTCATCCTTTCAGTGCTCCAGGCAAGGCTGAGGGAGACTGATTTTATAAAGAAAAGCCAAAGGTTAGCTCAAAAGAACTTAGGATTTACTTTGACCATAGCTTTACATCTCTACCCATCATCATAAATATGATGATGGCAGAGATTTATCAGTGTTTCCAGAGTTTTGTAATGTTTGCAAAACTCCAAACGTCCAAAGCTCAAAGTTATCCTTACTAGAAAAACAAGCATCATCTGTGAAAATGCAGTGAGAATGGTAAATGGACTAAGCTTATATAGTGCCTTATCAAGCCTCATGGGACCCCAAAGCACTTTACACTACAGTCATTCACCCATTCACATACTGATGGTGGTAAGCTACATTGTAGCCACAGCTGCCCTGGGGCACACTGACAGAAGCGGGGCTGCCATGCACCAGCATCATCGGACCCTCTGACCACCATCAGTAGGCAAGGCGGATGAAGTGTATTGCCCAAGGACACAACGACTGAAGGGCTCGACACACGGGAGGCGACGTCGCTCGCTCTCCATTCATTTCCTATGGAGCCTGTGCGGTGAGGCGACGATCACTTGCCCTCCTCCAGCAAAGCGACCCGCGAAAATAGTGCATGTGAAATTTCGAGCTCGTACACGTAGACGTGCACACACGCGAGCTTGCGACGCGACATATGAAAGTTGAAAAATGTTCAACTTTTGTCGCCGTCGCTTAGCGTACAACCAATCAGCRAGGGTTTCATTGACTGACCAATGAGAGGAGAGTATTCTACACAGCCGTTAGCTAACACTTTCATCAAGTGATTACTAAAAAAGGCAGCTTTGTGGGAATTTATTGGCACCAGGGTGAAGTTTATGGTAAGTTTTTCCTCATAAAACTGTATCTTGATGTGTGTTTGATTTTCAATATCATTAGCATCGCAAGATTTGTTTAGTTTACACGTCCGTAATGCACACCCACCTTCAGAGTCAAGAACCAATCAAATTTCGTGAAGACAAGCGATCTGAGAGTGCGATTCGCAACGCTGCGATCGCTATCACGTCCCGTGTGTCGGGTTTCACCCTGGCTGCGATGACAGTCGTTAATCGCTGTAGTTTGTCGCTGCCCGTGTGTCGAGCCCTCGAGGCGGCTGGAATGAGGAATCTAGCCAGCAAACCTTTGGTTACAGGATGACTCCCCTAACCACTCTGCCACAGCGTCCCAGAGACTGAGGTAATTTGGTGAAGAAGCTGAGCAAAAGTTAAAATGAAAAAACAAACAAACAAAAAAACAAACTGAAAGTTAAAGCCAGCAGATAATTTGCTAAGTTGCAGTCACATGACCCGGATGATGTGTGAATGTCAGATGCGGGGCAGGAAATGATTTGCTCTAGTTCAAAACACAGCAAAATGGATCACAGCACGTACACTAATGCCTTAAATGTGTTGGCACAGACAAGATATTGCAAAAAAATCTGCGTACATTTATGATTCACAATATGTTAATAAAAAAAAGACTTGTTATATAATCTGGAGGATTTACCCGGTGTTGAGGCGATCAACATAAACTACTATCTGGTGCTGCAGACCTCATGTTATAGGCTACGACGAGCCAGATGAAAGCTTTCAAAAGCCTCAAAACCTACAATTATTTAGTTTCAGGTTGGGTCAAACATTTAGGATCCAAAGAAACTTTAAATGGCTGTTGACTTTCTTCAGCCTGGGTGAGTTGTGCTATTTTTAAGTAGTTAGCCTATGATAACAATGCAATAGCTAACACTATCAAGTTAACTCCTGTTATTTCCATGTACTTGGATCTACTTGCAAATAATTTATTTAGCTCCTGTAAACCCAAATTCCAGTAACTACAATATGATTTAAACGATACGATCCTGACCTGTTAGAAAGTGGTCACTGCAAACTGTTGCATTGTTCGTTTCCGCAACTCATGTTTTTAGCTGTAGATTTTTGATCCAATTTTGTCCTATTCTTTCTGCAAGTTTTTAAAACTTAACTCGTGACACACTACTTTCGGAACGTGAAAAAAATTTTGATATTTCTCCTGATTAGAGTGGCTGCAACAACTGTACACAGCACAGCATTTAGGCATTTTGACACTGAATCAACAGAAGGAAGCATTGCTTCATTTACTTCCTGCCACCCATGATATTGATACTACATCATCTACAACCCAGCAATAGCTAAAAGTTTAAGTTAGAAAAATAGTAGCTAAAATTAAAGCCAGTAATACGTTAGGTAAAGACTTTAAAAAGCAGTACAGTAATGAAAAAAATATCAAGAGTAAGAATTAATTATGAAAAAAATGTATCTAAACGCTAAAACAAGCCAAACGGTAAAGCAAAACTAAAATAAGTAAAAGCAGATGTCCGCCTGTCCTGAGCCTGGTTCTGTTGGAGGTTTCTTCCTGTAAAAGGGAAATTTTATTTTCCGTCATTGCCAATGTGCTGTTCAAGATTGGAGACTGCTGTGACAAAGTGTTTCAACACAATCTGCTGGCTTCATTAGAGTGATTGTGTACAGCGCACTGAGATGACATTTGTTGTGACTTGGTGCTATATAAATAAACTGAATTGAATTGAATTGAATTAAACAAATAGCTGAAAGCATGAGAATGCACTTAGAGACCGAAAAAAATGTACTGGACACATTTTACGTATAGGTGAATAGTAGTGATTCAAGTATATTGTACAAGTATGTTGAATGCACTGCCACACGCGTAAACATGTGCTCGAAGACGAGCTATTTAAACTCAAACGCAACAAAGACGCGTTCATTCAAATGAATTCAGCAGGGAGTACGAAGCTAACAGAGCAGTCCTGTGCAGAAAGTCCTCAAGTCCCTTAAGAGAGTATAAAATATATTTGAAGTCTAGAGAATTAATGCAGCCCATCTATTTATTCTCCTGGAACGAGCCAGGTGGTGTGTGTGAGGGGACAAGCATGGATCTGTTCGTCTGAACACAGCAGGTGGGCTGAGAAATATTTGGGATGTGTGATTGATGGTTTTGGGTTGTTCGTGAAGCGGCAGTGGGTGGCATGGACGGATAGAGTTGGGAAGGCGGTGCCCACAGCCAGGGTGAGCACACGTCAGCCTGTTATTCTTAGGAATGAAGCTAACATCATACATGTTGTGTCAAAAACCTCAGAAGGAACATGAATATATGATGATAAAAGATCTACAGCGAGCCTCGAGGCAGCTGGAGGAATCACTGTGTAAATCAACACCTGTTTAAGTTCCTTTGAGCACCATCAGTCAGACTCTTCTACTGTCAGAATCAGAGCGAGAATTAAAAACCCAGCATTCCTTGAAGAGATGCTTATCGCCCTCTGTCTCCTGTGCCAGAGCTTTATTTTGAGAAATGATGGAGCTGCAGATGTTTCGGTCGAAGTATGGGTTGTGGATTAAACTCAGCTTCTACTGCATTAAATTTGAGCACAATATCCAAAAACTGACAATAATGAGTCATTTATGAGTTTGCTCATTTTGATTAGCTATGGCCACCATCCTGAGTTGGTCTGATTCCAAAAGTTAATCAGTTTTACATGTAGATCCAATGATTACTTTCAGAAAGTTTAACAATATACTGTATGTCTACAGGTTTGTGAGATATTTAGCTAACAAACTTGTAAGAAAATACATGTTCAATATGACTAAAGTCAAGATGAAAACACAATTGTTAAATAAAATTATTTGTCAAAGGAATAAAGTCATACAACACCAGAATTCTGGACCTGAGTGAGGTTTATTTGTCACCGGCTGACAAGGAAAACCACACTGACTCAAAGTCAGGAAGTACATGTTTTTATACATGATTCTTCAATGCCTGAGTTCGCCCCCTACTGACCTACGGCTGAATCACAGGCATTCATACAAAAACCTCAACCTAATGTTATTAAAACGGTTAACTTATGTGTTGTTTATGATTCGAACATGTAGCTACTCTATTTCAATTAACACATAATAGATCAAACATTATAAAAGTATTATAAAAAGGAAACCCTAATCCTCTAGTGTTGTTTCTAACATCAGTACTAATCTATAATTAACTATAAATTTCTTCAAACTGACAGCACATACTCCAACACAGTGTTGTATAAAGTACCTCAAAAGTGATACTTGAGTAAAAGTACAAGTATCTTATCATAAAAATACTTTGGTAAAAGGTAAAGTCTTCTCTAAAAATATTACTTGAGTAAAAGTCTTAAAGTACCGGGGTATGTGATATTTTTTGTACTTAAGTATCAAAAGTAAATTTCTGACACAAAATCTACTTAAGTATTAAAAGTAAAAGTACTGAGTAAAAGTGAGCAGTTATTTTCCAAAAGGACATTCATTGGGAGCTGACTTCTCCAAAAAAACATTTTTTTCTAACAGCGCGCAGCTGTGATGTGTTGTGTACAAACTAATATGTTGTCAGAATGCTGAATATTTATACTTCTTATCCAACTACAATTAAA